TCCATTCGAATCGTTTGATATTGTGTTTGCTGCAAATAAATTACAGGAAAGTGAAGATTTGACGAGATCGTTAATCAATCTTCGTCATCTACTTGTTCCTAATGGTCTTCTTTTATTACTTGAATTAACTGATGTTCCTCTCTATTTTGATCTTATCTTTGGTTTACTCGATAATTGGTGGTTACCATCTAGTAATACACGTGCTCTTCATAGTATTCATTATTGGACTACAGCGTTAAAAGAAATTGGTGGATTTGAAGATGTTGAGACAGTGATGAGTCAATATGAAAGTACATTAATTATTGCTCACAAGACAATATCTCATAAGATATTGCAAACACTCGATGAAAGAAAACATCAAGCATGGTTATTCTTTGGCAAAAACGATTCTGAAAGTCTTGGTCATAATGTCATATCGCTTTTGCCATGTTCAAACATTCGATTTTTGGATATGTGTGCATCAACGATTGACAAAATTCGTTTTGTACTTAAAACTATGATGGATAGCTATAAACAACTATATATTGTTTTTGCTTGGCCATTTGAACAAACTTGTCTAAGTGATAACAGCGATTTGGCATTTAAAGAACACGAAGAGTCTATTTGTGGTGCATTCATCGAACTTCTTCAAATAATTCACGCAACATCACCTAATTTTTACCCTTTTATTTTTGTTATTACAAGGTATGCGCAGCTAAATACTGGTTCTGACTACAATATAATTCAATCACCACTTCTTGGTCTTGTACGAAGTTTAATGGTTGAATATGAACAACATCGACTAAAGCTCATTGATCTACAAGCATCACCAACACTAATTAATGAATCAGTTTTTGTTCATGCTTTGGTAGAATACATGGTAACTTCTCGATTTAAAAAGAATACTGACGAGATTGTTCTTTGTCTTGACACAAATGAAAAGAAAGCCAAACATATTACATGGCATTATGAAATGTTGCAAACACGTAACAACAAAGAAGATCAATCAGAACTAAAACAGATTTGTATTATTCCTCGACAAGATGCTGATCAACAACCATTCTGTCTTTGTGTACCTCCATCTCGTTTTCTCACAGAATTAACATGGACTCCCGATAACAGAACAAAAGAATTACTACCAGGCATGGTAGAAGTTCAAATTCACTGCGTTGGTATTAACTTTCGTGATGTACTCAAAGCTCGAGGTCTTTATCCACATACACGTATTTTTGCACAACTTGATCAAGATCAGCCACATGTTAATCGAGACAGTGAGCCAGGTTCAGATTTTGTTGGTACTATCATACGTGCATGTCCTAGTGTCAGTTTTCAGCCAGGGAATCATGTCGTTGGCATCTCTTCATGTGGTGTATTCCATTCACATACCACTGTCGACGCAACACAAGTAGTGTGTATTCCATCCGAGTGTCCTCTCACCGATGAACAATTATCAGTTATGCCCGTCGTATGTCTCACAGTCATCTATTCTCTCAAATATCGTGTTCATTTGCGACGTGGTCAAACTGTTCTCATTCATGCTGCAACGGGTGGTGCTGGTCAGATTTGTATACAGTATTGTCAATGGATTGGTGCTCGTGTTTTAGCTACAGCTGGAACTGAAGAAAAGCGACGATTTTTACGTGAACATTGTGGTGTCGAATATGTATTTAATAGTCGAGATACTTCTTTTGTTAGTGGTGTAAGAAGTATTCTGCCTCATGGTGTTGATGTTGTCATTAACTCTTTATCAGGTATTCTTTTGCAAGAATCCATTAAATTACTTGCTGATCATGGTCATTTTGTTGAATGGGGAAAACGAGATGTTTTTGACAAAACTCAATTGTCTATGTTTGACTTTCGATCAGATTGCAGTTTTCATGTAATCGATTTGATTTCACTTCCCGATCAACAACTACCTATGTGCACGGTGATGCTTCAAGAAATGGTTGATTTACTTACTCAAGGCAAATTAAAAGCAATTGAACCTACGATTGTATATGAACCATCTCAAGTGATTGATGCCTTCATGAGATGTAATAGTGGTCAAGCTATGGGTAAAGCTGTTGTTCGCCTAAGTAATTCTAATGAACCACTCTATTTGAACAGCGAACATTATAATAATTTAATCGAAGGTAACTTTTACTAAGTTTTCATTATGATTCTAATGGATATAAATTTAGATAATGATATTATGTTTCCTTCAACTGTTTGCCATCAAGGAACAATTCTGATTTCTGGTGGATTTGGTGGTCTTGGATTGACAATGTCTCGATGGATGATAGAGAAACGAAGTGTAAAACGTATTATTCTTATGAGTCGTCGGACATTAGCTGAACTTGAACAACCTTCGAATCCACAATATGGTGATTGGTTACGATTGAAACAAACAATAAATGAATATCAAGCTTATGTTGATGTTGTTCAAGCAGATGTGACAAATTTTGATCAAGTATATGATCTGATCGAAAAATTAAGTCAAACATCTTATCCTATTCGAGGAGTTATTCACAGTGCTGTAGTTGCAGAAGATCGAACTTTGGCTAAAATGACACAAGAATATTTGACACATGTTTTAGCAGCAAAAGTTCGTGGTGCTTGGATTCTTCATCAAGTTACACAGCTCACTCATGCTCCTCTTCACTTTTTTCTCATGTTCTCATCGATTCGAAATCATCTAGTTGAAGTAGCATCGTCGGGTTACAATGCTGGTAATCAATTTCTTGATGGTCTTGCTCACTATCGTATGACTCAACTAAATTTACCTGCTCTCTCAGTTAGCTTGCCTGCTGTAAGTGGTGCAGGTATGTTTCATCGACAACGAGATATGCTCAGCACTTTACAGAGTACACATGGCTTTGAAGTATTGCCACCAATAGCTGTATTCGAGTTGATCGAACGCTTCCATGCAAATCAGAAGACTTGCCCATGTCCTGTTATTTTTGCTGTCAATTGGCAAACATTATATGAAAGACGTCACAAATTACCGATATTTCAACTGAACAAAATAGTAGAAGAGCGCTATACTACTATGAAACTCGCAAATATATCAACAGCATCAACTGAAATAAATAGTACAACTGCGTCAGACTTGAATCGAAAAGAAACTATTATTGAACGAATTCAGATGGCTGTAGCTCGTCTTCTGGGCTCAACCGATGTTGAGCGCATCTTAGTTGATCGTTCATTGGTTAGGCAAGGTATGGACTCATTAGCAGCTCTTTCGCTCTATAATTGGTTAGGACAGGAGACTGGAGTCTATATACCATTAGTTGATCTACTTCAAGGATATTCTATTGAAACTATTGCAACAGCAATTCATAATAAGCTCAACGAACGACACCAAGCAGTATCATCAAATACTAAAGAAGAAAACATCGATACTGATCTAATAAAAGAAAATGAAATAAAACTATCTCATAACTCGAATTACACTGGTATAGAGAATATCGCCTGTCTTCAACATCCACAGCAGTGTAGCGGTCATGTTTTCTTCTGCATTACAGAGCAGTCAGCAACCAATACTGACAATCTAAATAAACTATTCATTAACAAAATATATAAGCAACAAAATCAAACAAGATCAGTTCTCATTTATGCTATACAAATACCATCAGTGACATCAACAGGATCGCCATTTACTCATGCTCGTGATATGATTTTGCAAATGCGTCGTATTCAACCACGTGGACCTTATCAGTTAGTGGCTGTCCGCAACAAACAAGAAGAAATCATTGCACATGAAATGATAAGACAACTCAAAGATCATCTAATGATTATCGATATTCGATTACTTCTTTTGGACGATTAGAATCAAGAATAATAACAATATTAACACTCTCCGGACATTGATGGTGGGGTTAGTTTACATTCGATTTTTTTATTTACTAATTCTAACAAATATCAGATATCATCTTATAGAAATACTTACAGAATTTTTAATCACCAAAATAAGGCAATTCACAAGTAAGGGTTATACACCTCAGTACTTCAGCATTAGTATCTATTATAGAAAGAAATAGATGGTTTTACATAAACTTTTTTTTCTCAATGAAAGATTTTATCCATTTAGATAAATTTTACAAGAAAATTAGTCATTTCCGAAAAACTGTACATAGGACAACAAAAACAGATCAACAATTATACTACCAACAGAGATCATTTTTAATCCCATCCTCAACAATCTGAAAAATCAGTAGAAATAACTGCAGTTTCCTCGCTTTTGAAGCCTATCAGCGTGTTTCCAGAGTTAAATACTGTTATAATTAGCTCATGGGACACATTAATAGCTATCAAAAACTCGGAAACTGCAGTTATTTCTACTGATTTTTCAGATGGTTGAGAATGGAGTCAAAAATAATCCGGCTGGTAGTACAAGGATTACAGGCTTTCACAAATATTGTATGAGATAATCTACATTAAGTTTAGATGACAATTTTGTAGAATAGTTTAAACTTTGTAAAACGAAAATAAATACTTTCTCTATCAATTACATTACACTAATCATTTTGTCATCTTTCGGCACTCTGAATGTCAATATTACATGTTATTTATGAAAGTCATCAGAATTCTTTCTACTGTCCCCACTCATTTCGATTAAGTAAGATTAAAACATTGAGTTTTTATACGCATTGCGATATTATACTGTATCATGATTTCTCCGCGTTGTTAAATTTTCTGATGAAAACTCAATATTTTGATGATTGAAGAAAACATCAGTTCTTTGATTATTTTATATATATTTCTATATGATATTTGTTCTGAAAAAAAGATGTTTTGTGTGAATATCTACTAATAGTTAATCAACTTGTATACTAACACTATCAAACTAACATAATTGTTTTTCTTCTTACCCAATATTTCAGTTTTCAAATTACAACAATAAATAGCAAACTTAATGATGTTGAATTTATTTCTGATGTATTCAAATTTAAGTTCTTTTTTCTTATTTCTTTATAATTTCTAGATTGTATTAGGCTTTTTGCATTAGCAATTGATATTTCCTATTGATTAATTACACGAAAATGTTTCCAAATAAGAAGTCAACAGCAGTGACCACTGGCCACAAAGCACAACGATTGATGATTTCTGGTCAAACAGAAGCTATAGCTTCATCTGCTCAACAGCGTATCTACATGCATGAAAATCTTTATTTTAGTGCCTCCGATTTGTCTATATACAATATTATGGTACCATTGCAGATCAAACGAGGTTCAGTGTCAATAGAACATATTCGTTCATCCTTAGTATCAATGATTCAGCAGCATACAGTTCTTCGCACTGCCATTCGTTTCAATCCAATAAATAATCAAATCAAGCAAAACATTCTACCACTTACCGATGATATCTATTCCTTTCAACATTCGCGAGGTGTTTCCACATTGGAACAACTTGACAATCTACTGACGAATGAAACAATTGGAAAATATTTCGATATTGAAAATGGAAAAGTTTTACGATGTCATGTAGTACAACGATCTCCTGAGAATCATGATGACTTACTACACGAAAGTGATCTCATTATTTTTGTGATTCATCATATCGCATTTGATCTTAGCTCATTCAAACCATTTCTAAAAGCCTTTGAACGGGCATGCTGGCCAAATGCATATCAGCAACCAGTGTTAACAATTCCACAATACATTGACTTTGCATTGTACGAACAGGTACTGCTAGCCGACACAAACACAGAGTCAAAAATGAACAAGGCTCGTCGGTTTTGGGCTAATCTTATGCACGGATACGACTGGGATAAAATACAAAATCCGGTTCCCAATAAAGGTCAAAATGGTCGGCATCATTCTGGTCGTGGTTATACAACTGCGTTTACTATTGATCAAGATGTCGTTGATGCAATGATGTTATTTGCTTCAACCAACAACGTGACAATGTTTTCATTGTCTCTTGCCTGCTATTATGCATTTTTATTTAAACTAACCAATCATGATGATGACTTGTGTGTAGTAAGCAGCGCAGCTAATCGTCTTGAGAAAGAGATACAAGATATGATTGGTGTGTTTATAAATCTTCTAGTATATCGAATCAAAATTGGACCAAATACTGCATATAAACATCTCGTGCAACAAGTACAGCAGCTGAGCAATGAAATTCTCGTGCATGCTTCTTTACCTTATCAACAGATTATTGATTCCCAAGGCAAACGAGAAAAAAATGTATTACTTTCAATGTTTTTCCAGTATGAACCTTTGATATTATTAGTAACACAGCAAAAATCAATCGAATTAGCTGTGAGCGAAGGTTCGGTTTTGAGTGGTTACTATGATCGAGATCTAATGCACCAAAGCAGTATATCACAATTCGATATGTCTCTTACAATTACCCATGATCATCATACGCGAAGCACAGAATGTTTTCTGAATTGTTCGGCTGACATATTAAAACATCAAGATGATGTCGATCTACTATCAAAGCGTTTCCAGCATATCCTGACGCAACTCTTTTGCTCGTCGATTGTAAGCGAGCCAATCTATAATCAATCTAATATATCTATCAGCAACTTATCACTTAATTTACCCGAAGAAATCGAAGAAATACAAAAGGTAATCTTTCACAGATTACCGACTATTACAAATGAAGGTATGTCTACCCATTCTGAAGTTTTTGAATGTATAATAAAGAAATTCGCATAGATGTACTAGCAAATGATGCTTCCAGTATAATAAAGCTTCTTACAATAACCTTTCTGAAAATCTTATTCGCCAAATACTGAACAAAAGAATGAATTGAGTAGAAATAATCAATCATAACAAGATGTATTCTATATTGATTAATATTTTCAACATCTAAATTGTAGAATAAATAGTCGAAGTTTAAATACTTTTCTCTGAGATAAAGAGTGACTAAATTTAGTTTTCGCAATTTACGAAGACAAAGTCGAAATACTACAATTAAATATTTCCCCTATTTATGGAGAGTAATAATTAGTATCGACACCATTCACTCGAAACAGATCAAAGTTCATCGTGGAATGTTTTTAGTCATCAGATTTTTTAGGCGTCTTTTGGTTTAATACTGCTCAATGTATAACTCATATTTATATTAAATAATTTCAAAGTCCAAAAAGCTTAAGTTTAACTTTCCATTTATTAAATCAAAATAAATAAACCATTGATACTAAAGTTTCATTGTTCCAGCACCAGCATCATATGCACAAGCACGCATTTGGCTCGATGAAAAAATTCGATTCGATCCAGATAAGCCACAAGTAGCAATCTACAATATGCCTTTTGTTTATCGTCTTCAATCAGGTCATACTTTATCGATTAAACAACTTCGTCATGCTCTTCATCTCACTGTTAACAAACATCCCTCACTTCATACATCACTTATCTTTGATGCAAAAATGAATCAACTCATGCAACGAGTTATTACACGAAAAGATAACTACACTGATATGTTTTCAATCATCGAAACTACTTATGAGACAGATGAACAACTTAATGAGATTTTACATGACGAGAAACGTAGCCCTCATCTTTTCCATCTTGGTCAAGGTCTTGTCTTTCGGTGTCATCTTGTTTATTATAAACAAATTTCTTCGCATGGTCTACTGTCTGACGAAGATGTAGTCATTTTCAACTTTCATCATGCTTTATTTGACTTTCCATCGATGGAACTGTTTCTTCACGATCTCAATCAAGCGTATACAACAGGCCAATTATTATACGATAACAACACTAATCTTCGTTATCTCGATTGTAAATATAAATAGTTCTTGTACTTCACTCTTTTCTAATACATTCTTTTCTTTAATTATGTAGATGCTGTTATTGAACAACAAATGTCAATGACTGGTGCAAGTATGTTTTGGCTTGATGCTCTTCATGATTGTAAACTTGATCAACCCTTGCCATTACCATATGATCGATATCGTTTTGCAAATGAACATCGAACTGGTCGTGGAATAACTATTTCTTTTGATTTTGGTCAAGATCTCTCACACGACTTTCTTATTCATGCATCATCAAATAGCATATCACTAGAACATCTTGCACTTGCTACTTATTATGTGTTTTTATTCAAATTAACAAATGGAGAAAAAGATTTATGCATTGGAATAAACACACATGGTCGATATAGAGATGAACTCAACTCTATCATTGGAATGTTTGTGAATGCTATACCTTTGCGATGTCAACTTGATCCTCATCTATCATTTGATAAAATCACTCAGCACGTTCAAGATAATATGATAAATTGTATTAAATATTCATATTTTCCACTTCAACGTATTCTCAATCAACATCCAAATATATCAAATCCTGTATTTCTTGATACATCATTTGAATTTCTATCATCTATGACAAAAGATGAAGACAATGAAATAATGATTGGTGACAGTCGATTTTCTTTACTACCCTATTCAATTAAGATTAGTGAGGATGAAGTAATGAGTAAATTTGATTTCATCCTTAGTTTTCAACATGATCTAAATTTAAATAAATTTTCATGCACTATCAACGCTTCACTTGATTTATTTCATGCTGAAACAGTTTCTTTAATCACACAAAGATTACAGACAATGTTACATCAACAATTCATATCTTTTCACTGTAAAACAAATAAACCAATCTATGAATTATCATTAGTATTATCAAATGAACAATATCTAATGCAATCATTGAATAATACACAAATATCATATGCATCTCCTCTCACTTGTATTCATCATGAGTTTGTGTATCAGGTAATGAAACATCCACAAAAGCTAGGTGTTGAACTTGATGAACAATCATTGACATATTGTGAACTTTTATATTATGTTCAAGCCTTATCTTCAACTCTTTTTAATGAGTATCATGTGTGTCCAGGTGAAATAGTTTGTCAATGTGTTGAAAGAAGTTTATCAATGGTAAGTTCATTGAAGAAATAATTGTTTAAGATAATAAAACATTCATTTGAACTAGGTGATTGGTATTATGTCGATTGAAATGGCTGGTGGTGTCTATTGTCCATTATCACCGCGGGACCCGCAACATCGTTTACATTCTCTTGTAGAACAAACACAAAGTCGTCTTGTTCTTGTTCATCATTTAACTACAAGG